TTACATTTACATGCTAAAAGTGAATATATTTCTTCAGCAGTTAGAAACAACTGCGACTTCCATCTAGTTAGCAAGAAGAATTAGTTAAAATAAGAAGCTGCCAGATAGCTCTAACTGTTAACAACACAAGTACAATTATTCAGAATAATAACAAAATTACTCTGAACCACATTATGAATTGCACAACTGAACTGAAAGCAACTGCTTGCTACCCTATCCCCTGAACCAAAACCATTTGTTTTATTCTACTTTCCATGAGGCTTATTATTTTAATTCTTCTTTCTTCTTCTTTTTTATTAAACAGGCCCTATGCAGTTATAAACCCATCTATTTCCACATCCTTCTTAAGCTGTTCTCTCTTGTGTCTCCCAGGTCAGCACAAAAGTATTAATAGTGAGCTGGGAGACACATTTTACAGAGTTCATATTTACCTTAGCATTATCTAGTTCATAGTTCAGCTCATTAACTAAGTTCTCTTGGGCAAATTGTTTAATATTTTTGAGGCTCAGTTTCTATATCTGTAAAATAAGATTAGTGCTGTCTACCTCACTGAGTTTCTGTGGTTTTAAGAGAGAAAGTTACATGAAAGAATTATGTTGAAGACACCTTCCACAGTATCTTACATGTACTTAGTGTTCAATACATGTTAATTTCCATTTTGTTTCCATTTCCAAATGCATATTTTCTCTCATGTTATTTTTTTATTAAAAATATACTCTTCTGCTGGCCTTAAGTTTACCGTGTGTCCCCTGCAAATTCTGTATTATCTCTTTTCAGTCTGGCACTTGCACATTTGAAAGTGGACAGAATCTATAGGCCAGCTTCTTCCACGCCTCTCACCATTTATTTCATCATTTAGGAACTTGAACCCAAACTGCCACAGTTGGCCCGCAGGCTTTCAGAGCCTGACACAGTGACCACAAGCGTCCCTTGAATTGAATGTGTCCATTTTTCTTTATTTGTTTGCTGAAGGTCTTTGAAACAATGTCCCTTTGGCTTTTCTCTTCCCCTCTCCTGGGAAACCATGCACTAGGTTCTCAGACCTGGCAGCAGTCGGTGGCTTCGACCTTGGACACTTACCTCGTCATCGAAGACCTTAGTCCCGGGTGTCCTTATCAGTTCAGAGTCAGTGCCAGTAACCCCTGGGGAATCAGCCTTCCCAGCGAGCCCTCGGAGTTTGTGCGACTTCCAGAATATGGTGAGTCCAAACCCAGCCCCAGTCCCCCAGGCAGTGGGGACGAGGCACCTGGCTGCCTGTCACAGACTTACAGGCACCTGGTGGCTTCAGTCAGGCAACATTCTGGAGGCCTGATAAGAATGTTTCTGTAAAGTATAGCTCCAAGCGTCTTGGGCAAATGTTAGGTCTGCACCCATGCCTACCCCTGCACATGCCAAGTTCCTGGGGAATGAGTATGTCTCCAGGAATGGAGAGTTACAGACAGGAGTCACTAGTCCCATGAATGTTCTCTGCCCCTCTTCTGAGACAGTATATGAAGCCTTCTCACACCCGGGCACCCCTGCCAGCTGTAAACATACCTCCCTGCATGAGGGACTCACCCACTTCAAACAGGGGAGAGAAAAGCACCCTGGATGAAGGACTTCAGTACAACATGAGGATTTCATTGTTTCCTCACCCCCAATCATCCCAGAATTTCTTTTTTCAACATGGGTTATAATTTTATGTAGATTTGTTGAAAAATTAACTAAGATACACATACAACTAGCTAAATAGGAGTATTTTACGAATATGGTTCTTATTTTGCCCAAATCATCTTCATCCCGGGACATTTTGAAAGAGAAAACTTGGCTATTCTAAAGAAATCTCCAAATGGTGAGATTTCGGGCAGTGCAAGGTAGTGGTCTGTGTGTGCTGGGAAGAGCAGTGGGCAGTTGACTGTATTCAGGAGACAATGGACCCATGTGTCTTAGGGTTAAGGGGATTCTGGAGTCCCCAGAGGGGTTTGGGAAACCCTTTAAGTCACCTCTGCCCCCACCTGAATCCAGAAATGCTCTCCAGTTCCAGCCCTACTGTCAGCCCAGTTTTCTCCCAGTGACTTTGACTTTGTTCCCATGAGCCTGTGACTCATGCAGAAACCTAGGCCCTAGGTCTCTGTTTCCTCAGAATTCAAGATGGATAAGCCTCCTTCAGTTTCAGCCTGGCTGTGCTCTGGGAAACCTGAGGGAACTGGCTCCCGGGTCAGCTGAGCCAAGCTGCTCATGTGACACCTCTCCTCCCAGGCTGCAAACTTGCTCCAGCCCCAGATGATGCTGTGTTTTGCTATCTGTAAACCTTGGTGGCCAACAGACAACACAAATGTGTACTGATATGCATGCTTTGTGTGCATGTGTATGTGTGTGTCTGAATCATTGCCAAGGAATTAACACATCATACAAGGTAATACTGCCGAACAATCTACTCAGGCGGGTATTGTGGGTTTAGTTAAATCCTTCAACATACCAGATAAGCTCATTAAAGCCTATTAATGCCTGAGAAGAGTGGGGTAAGAGAATTTTTTTTCTTCTCTGTTTTTTTTTTGTTTTGTTTTGTTTTGTTTTTTGAGACAGGGTCTCACTCTGTCTCCCAGGTTGGAGTGCAATGGCGCAATCATAGCTCACTGCAACCTCGACTTCCTGGGCTCAAGCAATCCTCCCACCTCAGCCTCCTGAGTAGCTGGGGCTGCAGGTGTACACCACCACACCTGGCTAATTTTTGATTTTTTGTATAGACAAGGTCTTGCTATGTGGCTCAGGCTAGAAAGAGAAATTTCTAAAATGTCTTTTCCTTTTCTCCTCTCTTGACCATATAACTTTTCCCTTCTTCTCTCTCTGCATCCTTTTTACATCCCTGATTTTCTCCGGCTCTTCTAGGCCTTCAAAATATTTTTCCCCCTTTAACATTTTCTACTAAACATCTACTTTAAAATATCCAAAAGTCGCATTTCTGATTGTCCTGAGTTTTCTCTTTAAGTAGATAGGAGAGAGGGGCTGACGCTGTCATGTCAGTTTCCCCTTGAATGATTTTTTAAAATAACATTCCAGGGAATCATGGCATTTTCCCACTGAGTTAGACTCCATATTTGGTCATGAGAATTGCTTTGGGGTTATTCTGGAGATTTTCTGTTAATCTCTTCTTTATTCTTATATGACATCCTTGATATTATAAATCGATTCTCTTTCTCCCAAAGATCCTGCCGCTGATGGTGCCACCATTTCTTGGAAGGAAAATTTTGACTCAGCTTACACTGAGCTGAATGAAATTGGAAGGTAATGACACAGTTTTCTATTCCTTCATTCATGAGCCCCTAGCAATGTCACAACAGAATAATAACTTGTCACTTGTTTCTTTTACAAATGCAATTCTCTCCATAGAGAGAAAACAACTAAAATATTTATTTGTATTTTCTATTGTTCTCTAACTTCTTAAATTGGATGTTTCATTCATCAATTCTCAGTCTTTCTTTTCTTTCTTTCCTTTTTTTTCTTTTTTTTGAGATAGAATCTTGCTCGGTTGCCAGGCTGGAGTGCAGTGGCACAATCTCAGCTCACTGCAACCTCCGCCTCCAGGTTCAAGCGATTCCCCTATCTCAGCCTCCCAAGTTGTTGGGACTACAGGTGCGTGCCACCATACCCGGCTAGTTTTTTGTATTTTAGTAGAGACAGTGTTTCACCATGTTGGCCAGGATGGTCTCGATCTCCTGACCTCGTAATCCACCCACCTCGGCCTCCCAAAATGCTGGGATTACAGGCGTGACCACCGTGCCTGGCCCCTTCTTTTCTAATATAAGAATTTAAGGCCCAACATTTTCTTCAAAGTACAATTTTAGCTATAGGTCCCAAATTTTGACATGCACTATTTTCCTTAGTCAGTTATATGTAATTTTCTTCAACTATGAATTTTTCTTTGACCTGGGTATAATGGAAACATGTTTTAATATATATGAAATTTTTTAATATATGAGTTTTTAAAGTATCTTTTTATTACTGATATCTAACTTAATTTGCACTGTAGTCAGAATCTAGATGGTACTGATTGCTCGGTTTTTGTTCAGACTTGCTTTATGTACAAGGTTAATTTTTGTAAAAACTTCCCTATGTTCCTGAGAAGACTGTATAATCATTAATTGTTGGGTACAGATCTCTGTACTGCCCATGTAGCAAGCACATTAATTATTTTATGAGTTTTTCTAATCCCAATCCACCCCCTGCTCCACATACACATACATACCTATCTCTTTGTCTCTTTCAGTATTTTGGTTAGAGAACATTTAGTGTGTCCTCAAAAATAAAACAGATAAAAATACGACTTTTAACAAAAAATTAAAAATCTATTTCCTGGCCCACAAAATAGTTGATGGGAAAGAAGCAAAAGAGGTCCATCCCTGAACACGCTTTGGTCTCCAGGTGGTCTGGGTGAAGGAACGTGGGTGGATCTTACAGGTTGCCCCCTCGAAAGATCATCCACCCTGGATGTATAAATAAGAGAACACCCACTAACAATGGGCCATGGGCATCATCTCTATCTCTGATTGGCATCTCTCAGGGAAGCATAACATTTCTTAAGTGGGGTGGTTGTGACGGAAGTTGTAGAGGAAGCCAAAACGGTCCTTATTACTGTGTCTTAGGGCAGGAGTCACAGTGTCATTCACTGCCTTTCATTACAGCACCTTTCATCAAAAACAAACTCTACCTCTCCTTGCCTGCCTTCTTTGTGTAGCCAAACAGAAGAAAAAGGCCAAGGAAAGTTATGTGATGATGATAATGATGATCTCAGTATCTATAGTATTCTAGATACTAAGCAGATACTATATACAAGTGTTATTTTTATTTGTTTGAGCTCTACTGCTTAATACATAAACATTATTTAATTTAATCCATACAACAC